GGTTTACCCCGGTGATGCTCTATCTGCCGTTTAACCCTCTTAGTGCAGGGAAATGGTGTTACAGGTAGTGGGCTCGGTTGTCTGAGCTTAGTTTGACGTTGGTTTTCGGCGTTCTCGGTTGCATTTCTTCATTTACCGGATGATGCCCTGGGATGATGGGTGCGACATTTTGAGGGCTGCCGACGCGTGAAGTGGATGCAATGACCTCACCATAACTTAGTGCTTTCTGCCCATCCTTTATTTTGTGAACCTTAACCAAGGCGTGGGTTTGGACACCTTTGGGGCCGCTCTTTACGAATGCACCCTTTCCTGGTTGCGGCTGATCCACTTTTGGTCGGACATCCACGAGGAGTCGTTTAGTCATGCGACTTGAGTTATCTGGCGCAATTCAATATCTAGCCCCGGTAGCTTTTTCTACTCTTTCACTACTGCACATATAGCAGTTGCATATCCCTAATATTGGGATTTCCGAACTCGACTAGAACGAGTCTAGCGACCCTGGCACCTGGCGCGCATTCTTGTCTCCATCTCCCAATCCTCTGAACCCCATGTATGAGTGCATACACGTGTAACCCCGCGGTTCTAAGTTATCACAGACTCTTCAACCGTCAATATCCACCCGAACCTTCGCATCTCTTATAACCGGTTCTTCGTGGTTCATAATGAGGACGCTTCTATTTTGGCCCGTCGTCAGTTCTTTGGCGCATTTCAATTCAGACACTTCGGTCTCTAGGCTAGCAATCCTCTGTTCTAGACGGTTGATCAATTGTGTCTGATTCAGATGAGCTTTGCGGTCACGGTTGTCTGTACCACTAGGCTCGGGCGCCGTAGTAGTGCGCTTCCTATTTGTGTTCTCTGCCATGGCTACGCACAGCTAGCATATCCACCTAAGCGCTGAATTACTCACGTATATCTCATACACTCTTTTGTCTAGGCGGGCACAGCTCTGGTGACACCAGTATCCACAACAGTCGCACTGTATGCCACTGTAGACTGGATTTTTACAACTCTGCGCACCGCAGAATTCTAATTTTGACATTCCTCCACGCTTAATGTTACGAAGAAAGTTCAACGTTTGTGACTGAGGACTTAAATTTCACAAAACGTGTGTTAATCTCACGGATAACCATAAGATCAGACACGTGGGGACTTACCAAAACGTTTGTTCGAAAATTTCTCACAATCCGTTTCGGCCCGTAAATATCAGGTTTTGTTCCTGCGAGGTGGTCCAAGGGGTAGTGAGGACCCAAGATGACCGCTTCACGAGTGCGGCTGTCAGCCCCAATTATGATATTGGTCATTGTGCTAGCGATGACTGACTCCTTGGATAGGAGAAAGTCTCGTTCTTTTGCACTGTAGAGTTCCACATGCAGAGGTCGACTGGTAGGGAGGCCATCCTGTTTTGGTGGGACCCATTTTCACAGCCTGTGTGCTCGTTTCAAGAGTGATTTTGGGGTGACAGCCGGCGTTGCGAAGCACACTCAGAATGATTGTTTTTTCTTCGGGATCTGTTGAGCGGTGTTGGAGATGACTGTCTCTGGAGCGTGGATTATCACTTTCCGCGTCCTGCCTAAGGTGGACTCGTAGGACACGTGGAGCCTCTGGATCTCTATGAGCTGTCTTCACATGCGACGAGCCAAGTTCTCAATTCTAACTTCTTGTTTCTCCAGTCCAGAGATAGCTGCCTTGAAACCATCAGGTGGAGCACCCATCTGAAAAACTGTGGGTTGCCGATTTACTTTGCTGCTGTCCTTTTGGGCTTGGGGTTTCCTTCGTTTTTTCCGATCTCTTTAGGATTTGTTTTCCTTCAATTGAATGGTTAAGCACGTTGAACAAGTCAATGAGCTGAATTTGGCGCCATTGATATTGTGGAACTGTTGTTTTGCTGTTTCTTGTATACTCTGCTCGGCTTGGGGTATGGCTGACTCATGCTGATTACTGTTGCTAGTCTTTTTCGGACTCGTGGTGTGTCGAGTGATCCAAAGGGCTCCTCAGAAGCGACCGTTTACCTTTATGGTTGGGTGATTTTTCCCGAGTAGCGTTTGTTGATTGACACGGTGGTGATTTGCGTGACGACTCGCTTACGCGTAGCGTTTGCCCTTGCATGTCACCACCATTATCCAAGGAGTTCTGGCTGCATTTTGATGCAGATTTTACAATCTCTCGGCATCCTTGGCAGGTCCACAGATGATCTATGTAAGTGCTGTATAGTCTGTATAGCTCGCTTGAGAGTTTGAGCAAGTTTTATGTGCCCATTGCTTGCATATGCTGCACTCTATACCTATAACCACCCGTCTAATACACGATGCATTCAGGCATTGATAAGACACACGTGGCATGTTATAAAAGGCTACGATAATCGGAAAACAATTAAATATGTTACCACCAGCTCTAAAAGGGGTTACGCAATGTATAAGGTGTACGAAACACGAAGCTCAAGAATAACAAAAATGTTTAACCTAATACGAGTACAATATAGCAAAGCTAAATTAAAGACCCTAATCGTGCTACCACACTAATATAGGCTAACTGAAGATTTAAAAATGCGAGACTTATCTATCACAATAAAAGTTTGAACCACGCGGTCAAGGTCAAGGTCAAACGTATGGCCAGGTCAGGTCGGGTTCCACGATGTGCGGCTGATGCCAGGTACCTTCCAGTCTCTTGCACTTAAAAGCTGCGATCGTATCCTCACAGTGCTGCGATAGCGTTTCGTATGTATTCGTTATCGTTCTTCGTCTGTGACAGAGTAATGTTGGCGGCCTGTATACTCTGACAGAAGGACCAATCACTCGGAGTTGTGCAGGTTCACGCCGCTTATCCGATGTCACACATTTCACCTTGTGGTCGATCCCTCCAGCAGGGTCTCGGGCAGGCCAAAAGAGTAGGGGGTTCTCCAGCATAAAATCCAATGTAGAGCACTTTTACAATGTGAGGATTTAAAAGTAAATGGAGTAACGCAGGAGGAAAGGAAACAAACCTAAGATATGTAGTCTGAGGGCACTCCTAAAGATGGAGGTCCTCCGGGAACACTCCCTTCCAACACTGGTGGAGTCGGAGCTTGAAGGCGGCAACTGATTTTGGCTCTACCATATCCGTAGGTAACTTGTTCCAGGCGTTAATCGCCTGGACTCCTAGGACTCTTAGGTCCTTCACTTCTACTTGTGGGATTCAGGTGGCGGTTCACCGAAATCCGTGCGTTCCTTAAGTGACTTCACTTATCTGGGTTTATTGGGATCTCCCATTCAGTCTCCAATTTGTGTATCCTATTTAGGTCCTCGTGCATTTCGTTACCCTCCGACCTACCCACCAGTTTGAGACCGTCTGCAAACATGAACACCGGAGATGCAAGATTGCCAGCCACGTCGTTAACGTAGATCAGGAACAGAAGTGGCTCCAGAACTGAACCGTGTGGCACACCGCTGG